AAGATTGTTCCGACAAACATTTAAAACTTTTCCAAATAGATGTTGATGATAACAAGTCCTGGATTGAATTAACACCCCAAATCACAAGGGTAACAGGACCATATCTCTTCAAGCCAAAAGAGATAGTGCAGCAAATTAAGCATTCTTTAGCATCCGGTCAAGGTGCTTCCATTTACACTTAAGCTCAAATGCAAAAATTTTGGAACATGATAACTGATAAATCAGAAATGAAAGGAATACTACAAAAATTATCTAGATCCTTTCTAAATGCCCAAAAATTTCTTGGACTCATATAGCCCGCTAGGCTCTTTTCAAAATATCTACTTAGACATTCTCATTTCTCCAGATTTTTGGAAAAACAAATACACCCGTATATTCAGAAAAATATAATTCTATTTAAAAAAGGAATAGTCTTCGCCTCATTTCTCCTAGTAAAATTCATACTATATTGCCTAGTATTCATAATAAAACCTTTACATATTCACAAAATTACCGGCCTCTCACTACATTTTAGCAAAGTATTGCTTGCTGCCTCATACAATATACTTTTCACTTCTATAGTGACCTCAATTTTCACTCAGAATGAGCAAACCGAGAAACTAGAAGAATATGATCATTAAGATAAAGTACAAGAACCTCTTTTAGAGGAAGTTGATAATATCAACCAGGATCGCATGTATCCTCATATCCAATTAACAAGTTTTGATAGAAGAAATCAAAACTTGGAACACCCTACAAACCCAGTCTAATAAAAATTTTACATGTTCTAGAACATGCCGACAGATTCATCGACATCTACTATCGACTCAACACTTGACGATGACTTGCGACGTTTTCAGGAACTTCTCTCCCTCTTCCCAGGCATCGATCCACTGGACTTGCAACCTTCAACATCAACTCCACAACCAACTAATTCCACTACTACGGCCCCTACTACAACAACGGCTTCAACACGATCCTTCACTGTACCACTGCCGAACACAACTTCAGCTGTCCCAATAGCTACAATATCAAAGCCACCACACCTAAAAATTTCACCCCCTCATTTCAAAATGCCCCTGGTTTCTTCAAATTCTCGAAATGAGAAGCGAACTCAAATAGTAAGACCATAGAAGATAATAACGGCGAATACGCCGGTATCAACTTCCCAGCAACAAATGACTGTTCGGCGACAGATCTTACACCCTACTGAATTAAAAACCAAGTTACATAATCAGTTGGATAGAGAACGGCACATAAATTCCAACAAAAATCCCGGCTTCGATATGGATCTCAATTATGCTTCGAATCCGTTAATCAATCTCTTCAAATTGGAAGCTTACCACCCCATAAAAAAAATGTTCTCAATAACAAATTCCTTTCTTGAGTATCAAAAAAATACAAGTTCCCGCAGAATATCTAACTGCAAAATTGCAAACCCCCCAGTTGGATGAATACTGAGCAAATCCAACGTAGCCACATACATGAAACCCACCAAATCCGGCAGCTCAAAAAACAAATCAACAATTTGAGAATATAAAACCACCAACTTATAGCCCGGTTGGAGGGAAATTTCTAAAATTTATCCACCATATTTCTATAGCTAGGTAGTATAGCTGCTAATTTGTCTTTTTAACAATTCTGATTTCATTAAAAAACGGAAAACAAAAAATACACCCTTTTATATGAACCAGTCCTCCCCAATTACGTATACGGACACCCGCTCATCTACTTCAGGACGAAAAACAACTTCAAGAAAACGACGTTCAAAGAATAATAAAATTGAACTAAAATTCAAACTTTTTGAGAAAACAAAACAATTTGATGTATTTGAATTTTTTAATTTGATCGAGTGGTTGCGTAAATTTTATTTGATTTATAATGTAACAGATGCTATTCATTTAAGCCTGACTCAATATTAGGTATACCATAACTGCAAACATCTACCGGTAAAAATGTAAATTGAACAAAGATCACCGGTTGACTGCAACATCTGCTACCGATAATAAACTAATTGAACAAAGATCATCAGTTGAAAAAAAATAGCTTCGCATGATTAAAAATTACCTCGCTTGATTAGCAGGGTAAACTAGAAAAATATCCTTGTTTTTTCTTTCCAAATAGGAGGATGAATATGTTCTGATTTCAAATTGAAAAAGAAATATAATTTTTTGTGTTCATAAAGCGTGACGCCACCGCCACTATAAAATAAATCCCTTCGCAAAATGAATGGAAAAGCAATTGTATTAATTCGTATAATGTTTTAAGCATTAGAAATTAAAATGACTATTCTCGTTAAAATTCGAATAATAACGATTCCTCTCGTAAACACGAACGACTCTTCTTGTGAAATACGAATGCACGAATAACATTCACGAGAGATTACGAAGTTTAAAAATAACTTCTTATTTCCCACGACAAATTGGGAGATTTCCCAATTGAGTATAAATAGAAGCTAAAAACAACTACACAAATTCATTCCAACAATTTCCAACAAATATCAACAGTACTCTCTTCAACCACCCCAACCCTTCTCTATAAAATACTATCCATACTCAGTCAAAATATCTCTAATCTCACCCTTAAAATCAATATCGAGTCAAAAGGCGATTTGCAGTAAAATACTACTAACTTCTATTCTAATAAAATATTTCTCAGCGAATTTCAGATTCACTTTCTAAGATAGAAAGTACCTTATATTACTAGCAAGCGTTTTGTCCGGCGTACATAGTATTGCTAGCGTAATAATAGACTCACACACTAACAACTCAGCCACTGCAGCTTTATAGGTACAAACACATTAAGCAGAGAACAGGTGCTATGCAATTTCCAATGCTACATTGAAACACGTTTAGTAAAATTTTATTTGCGAATTAGCTAAGAAAAAAAGAAGGCTCGTAAAAACGATTACGTCTCAAATGGCATAATTCTCAAATGGCATAACAATGAAAAATTTCCCAAATGGCATAAATTTCATGCAACAGTTGTAGTAATAAAAATCGAGAACAACTTTTTCATGAACAATGTTAGAAAATTTGAAGTTGTCAATTAAAATGTTGATTGACATTTCATCTTGAAAAAATTGCAGAATTTTTTTTATCAAAAGCGAAAAACATAAGCTCTTGGTTATTGATAAGCTCCTTATGGTCAAATTTTCCGCCAAATTTGTCGCTTAACATTTGTTTGGAAGCAATTAATTCCATATCTTGTTCACATGTTTTGGTTCCTGGCAAAATAAAGAATTAGAAACTGATAGAAAACGTTTGACTTACAATGAAAACTTGGAATTGATGCCATTAGCGAAAAGTTTCTTTTTAAGCCATTTGGGAAGTTACCGTAATAACACACTAAGCTGATCGCAAGTGTACATGTAGCAATAATAACTAGTAATTGAGGTTTTTGCGATTCGTAGAAGGCTATCCAGCCTGTCTAACGATAGTCCGTTTCTATTAATGCCCCACTTTGCAGATTTAATTTGAGCTAAGCTCTTTTTTGCAACACATGGTAGTTTTTCAGCTTCTAAAACTTTCACGCCGTACTATTATTGCAGCCTAAATCGACCATATAAGAGAGAGCTCGATCTCAAAGTGAACGCCTTACTACTATGCTAACTGCCTCTAAGAATCCATTGAATCACAATCAATGAATCCGCGCCCCTTTGCAATGAAAGATTCGTTATTTAGAACCCTTTAGCCACCTACTAACTACAGCTAAACAAGCAGCTTTTTGCAACAAAATACTTGAATTTTTGAATGTCACTTCCGGCTAAAAATAAAAGAGCTCGAGTCTTTCAGATAAACTTAGGAAAAAATGGATGAGAAAAAAACTGAATTTGGCAGAAACTGTACTTTTCTGGGATTTAACAGCTAATGACATATATTTGATCAAGTAATGCAACAGCAAACATCTGAGAATATAATTTCAAGGTAATTTCATCTAGTTTTAAACAATCATAGCCAACAGACAGTTGGAAAAGTGTCAATGAGCTCTTAGAGACCAATTCTTTGAAAATTTTTCAATTTTCACTTAGTAAAATATACATCTGCCATAACACTTTTTAGGAAAAACTAACCCAATTAGAGAAAACTCGGTCAAAACGTTTTTTTTTTCATTGGGAAATCTAAATTCTAAATCCAATTTAGGAAATAAAATTCATTCACGCTTCTTAGCGCAATTTTCATTCGCAACGTGAGAGCGCAATTTGCCTTCCTTTTATCGAATAAAAATGAATTGAACTTGAAAAAAAAAACAAAAAACAAATCATTAAACTCAAATTTGAGCGTGAAACAGTTTAAAGACTTCTCCTTTGAAAAAAAAGGAACAAAAATAAACACGACCCATACTTGTCTTCACTGCGTTCATTGACACTTTAAAACATTCACTGAAACCAAGCAACTAACGCTAGGTACCGGCTACCAGATTGATCTATGTATTTTCACGGATATGAGCATGACAAGTATCCATGACAGATAGCTTTACCGGTTTATTTGAAGCGAGCAGACAAACGCAATCGAATCAAGCAATTCAATAACTTTGAAATTAATCCTAGCGTAGCATTTAGTCTTAATGGAATGAATTTACAAGTTAGTTCAACTTAATTTGAGCCCGTCCCTACCCAAGCATGATTTATCATCTATAAGTAACGCATTTTTTCAAAGTAAATTCGATTTTTCACTATATTTAACTTTAACCCTCAGTGTTTAACTTTCAGGCGCTGTGTTTAACCCAATTTGACTAACGTTGCTTTTTTCATTTCCTTGTGAATAATTCGCAAGCCTTCCTGGGGAAAATTAATGCCATTGTAATAATCAGTTATTTTCATTCACCTCTTTGCTAAAAATAGCTGAAATTCATTCAAAACAACATGAATTAGGCAATTGGTGCTGTATGATAATTTTATCCAACTACTTGTTCGTTTGTCGACTGCAGCAACATAATAACAGCTACCTACCATACATAAAATGCAACTTCATTTATCTTGTACTTTGATTAAAAACTTCATTGGAAAGAGGTAGCGAATATGCAAAATAAAATGTATTTATTTAGATCACATCTGTTCATATGTCGAAGGTGAATGTATGATACTGAGGGAATGAACTGGGTTTAGCATGGAAAGGATACGAAAAAGATTTGCGACCTCATTAAAACAGACTGAGTGCATCATTTGGCAGCCATAGAAGTTAGCAGTAATTACGTATTTTTTGCCCGTTTTATCAAGATCTGTAACAAACTCAACAGGAATAAGACCGCCTAGCAGTCAATCAATTACTGGTTGTACATAATCTGATAATTATTAGAAAAATATGTTATGGATATGACATTATAACAGTGAGGTCTGAGAACGAATGGAAAAATTCGCTGGATAAATCTTTCGGCAAAGATAGAGCATGCAGCGGCTATGCCTCAAACAAATGTTGGCATAACTTATTCGACATAATTCAAGGCAAAATGCACCATTGCGAAATCTGTTAATACCTTTTGCCATCACTGCTTAACCTTCACCGAAATATTGATTAAACTTCAAAGGGACAAATTTCCTAACTACTGCGTTCTAACTATGAAAAGGGGTTACTTTGAGACTTGACGATAGGTTAAATGGCAACCTTATTGCTGAAATTGTCGCGTATAACAGCGAAAGCCACGAAGCGAAATCACAGGAATTGTCATGATTCTCTATCCTTAATTTAACGTTATCAATTATTCTATAAAACTGAAATCTTTCGAAGCAGTAAAAAAATTGAAGCTCGCAATATTGAGTGATTTTTCAGGATGAAGTGTGCATTGAACCTTTATCTTTATTTAATACGCTTATATTTGAGACTTTTTACGAGCTGTTAACTATTTTACAGGCAACTGGTGTAGTATAATTACAAATCGAAATCATCCCTCGAAATCATTTTTTTGCTAAAGATGTCAAGTCAGCATAAGTTAACATATAGCACATACACGGTTGAAAAAAAATGTCATTGAACTCAAACAACCGAATTAATTGAGTTAGTTAAGTAACAAATAAAGTATAAGGTACTGACACTAGTGTTTTTGTGTATCTTATGTTGATATTATGAAAACTATTGAGACATCGACTAAAAGTTAAAACTACCAGAATGGTGATTCAAGAGCATCAAAATAAAAGCTGATTTGAGGAAACAAAAAGCTTGTTTGTACATTCATATATCCATATATTGATAGATTAGGTGTCTCATTGATAAAACTAGTGGGCGTAACACTTAGTTATTAAAGGGTAGAAAAACAGATATGCACGCACCACGAAAAACACGGGACGAAATTTGTTCGTTTTGAAGGAAAGGGAAAGACAATAAAAAAGAAGAAGGAATTTTTTCCAGTTCACTGAAACAACAGTGATTGACGTTCAGATTCACTTGCAACTCAGGAGATTATTGGGGCAGTAGATTTTGTGCAACAGCAGCAGCAAAGCTTCTTTTCGCCCTCATCTTCACCCCATATCTTCCATGTAGTATACCTGACCATTAGCGACGTAACTAAGGCGACCTTAAAACGAAACACAATTACTTCGGAGATCAAAAGAAAGCTTTTAAGATTAAAAAAGTGCTTTCATGAACTTGTGAATTCTCAAACTTATTGCAACAAATTATACTATTTATGAGCGGATTAACTTAAAAGATTGATGGATGTTTGGTAAAAATTCTGGTTAAACCTATTTTGAGAATATTCAATACCTGTGTATTTTTATCGATTGCTGTAGTGATTTCCGAATTATTACAACAATTATGGTCCTCAGACTAAAAGCGATTGAGTGATATTGATGAGTTATATATATTTTGGGACAGAGAGGCAAAGCAGAGCTTCGAACCATTTAAAATACAAAACAAGAAAAAATCTGAAAATATAGAAAAACTAGATTTATCAAAATGAATATAGCTAGTTTTGAAAAAACAACATGCCAAGGCCATACAATGTGGTTATAACATCCATCGGAAGAACACCAATCAAGCGGTAACAAGGTCAAAAACACCTAAGCAGAAACCCTTTAAGCCTAGAAAATTCATAAAAACTAATAGAAGATTTTTTTTCAAATCCCCCTTCCCTTACCTTCCAAACACACACAAACCTTTTGGTTCATCAGACGATGCAATAAAATGTGTGTAAGCCAATATTATATAGAATAAAACTTATTAAGCTGAAAAAAAACAAAGTCAACAGTTAGTTGGAAAAGAGTCAATGAAAAGAGTCAATGAATCAAGGAAACATAAAAACTGATTTGTTTTTCAAAAAAATTCCCAATTTCGAAGCTAAAAATATACGGCTTTACAGCCCTTCGAATTTCCAGAACGGTGGAAAATCTGAAAATTAAATTCCACTTTTGAAACTAAAGTGAATCACGTTTTTCGTGACCTTTACACTTTCGTAATTGGAGAGCGCAACTTACCTGACTTTTAGCAGATGAAATTGGATTGAACTCAAATAGTGCATAAATATACCCAGGCATTAATATGTATTATGCACATCTGAAAAATATAAGAGCATTTTAGGACTTTTCCTTAAAAAACTAAAAAATCATCAGGACCTGTATAAGAATCTGAACTACCTTCATCGACTCTAAAAACGTGAAAAAAATATAAATCGAGCAAAAAAAATTACAAGCAACATAAAACGCAAACTGCCAAAAGCATGGATAGTTAAACTAAAATGCTCATAGGCTCAAAATATGACTGTTGCTGCAAGATGAATCCTGAGAACAAAATTATCTAAGGAAAAAAATTCTGGTATCCAATGAAAAAAAATGTTAGAAAAATGAAAAATTATTATTATATTATAAAAATATTTTAAAGAGCAAATTCGAAAAAAAAATACTGATTTCAGATTCAGCGCTTGAGAGTTGGCTAATAAGACTACGGATAAGACAGGGAGAAAATACCGTACATTGAGCATTGAGGGCCAATAAAGAAAAAAGAAATGTTTCAACCTGACATAATTAAATCACTTGCCGAATTGTGAGTTCATCTCGTCGAGTACTGAGCAAGAATTGAGACATGATTTTGAATCTGAGACACCGGACAAGTTGTTTTCACTGTTTGAAAAATGCTGCGGTGACCTCGTGAAACTCAACATCTGGTTAAGACGAAGTCCAGATCCCCACTGCGAACGGTCGTCAGTGTGCATTGAGTCCCTGCGAGGCGGTGTTCCTGTTCTGACAGCACTGCGCGACAGTCGACCGTCTTTCGGGGGGTCGTTTATTCTAAGTATCTCAAATATATGCACACATCTGGTGTCTCTGAGTTTGTTGCGTAGACAGAATGCGGCGAAAGACGATATTAAAAAGACAACAAAGATCACACAACACACTACAACAGCAGCTGTCGCCTTTTTTCCAAACTTTTCTGAACTCACTGGAATAGACAAATTACCGTCGATTCTGTCAGCTTTGCACGATGGTTGTATATTCTCCTGTTTCTCGCTCTCCGACAACTCTGGGAGAGCTGACAAGTTCTGAATATCAATAATGGGATAGCAGTTGCCGGCTTCATCGTGTTCCATGTGAGGCAGCGAACACACATGAATCCAAGGACTACTGTCCAGCCAATGGTATGGATTTGAAAAGCCTTCCATTTCATACACCTTAGTCACGGGAATGTCGATCTAAACACAGAAACATGCATAAAAGAGGACCTTGGCAGAAAAAGACGGCAATTACGTCAATTAAGAACCAGTTCCATTTTTGATCCGATTACAAAATTAGCAGCAACGAAATGTGGCAGATAAAAGGATATGCTATCTTGGAAATAGGACTTAATTTTGTTTTGCCCATAATTATACAATCGAAGCAGAGCTTGCCTTTGCGATACAAAAAAAATAATTACACTGAGGCAAAGCCGAGCTTCGCTTCGCTAGTGATAAATTGATATTTGACAACAGCAACGCTTCGCAAACTTAGAATACAAAAAATTGGCATTGGAGGTTGCGGATGAAAACTGAGGCAGCGGCCACAAAGCCGAAAAACTTATTCAAGAAGTCGAAAAAAGTTACTTCTACTAAGATTTTATACGTTTGTCGCAAAATAAGTACAATTTGAGAAAAAAATTCGGGGTACACAATCGCAAGCGTTAATAAGCATTCAGAAACATTTATCGAGCGGTAATAAGCCGAAAACAAAATTGATGTAAAAAAAACCTTAACAATAAATTTGGAACACAAAAGCCTAAACACCTCTGTTGGCCATTCAAACGACCCACTGAACAGTGATTAAGCCGATGTAACGCCAGCTGAAACCATTAAATATATACATATATATATATGTATCTAAGTTCAGAGTTGGAAAATTTACAAACTAAAGAAGGACTTTAAAATACAGTAAAAATTGGAGGAAAAGACCATACTTTGCAAATAAGGCAAACGATAGTCCGACAACTCAAGTGTTACCACAAAAACTCAAATCCCTCACTCGAAACAACAACAAAGTACGGCAGGGACTCGAATTACCGACCGTAGGATCCCAAACACTCATTTCACCGCTAGTCCAGTAGGGAAGGGGTCTGGAAGTTATTAAAATGTAGTAATAAAGCAAGGTCAATTGTCAGAAACCTTTATCATATATGTGCGACATTGTAAAAAAAAAATGGACTTTATTATATATTATCAAAACCTTCAGCGTACTTCAAAAAAGGACACGAATCGCCCTTTCTCTAAAACACATAAAACTACAATTGACGAAATAAATCTAAGCAAAAAAATCACAGGAGAAAATCGGAAACCAAATTTAACTTACACAGAGAGGAAGTTTTGCTTTGCAAACGAGCGAGAACACAAAAAGTAACTCTAGAAAGCGCAATAAGAAAAATAGAAATGGGCCTCGAATAAGCAGAAATTTTGGCCAGGTCTAGGATTCGATCTGCGACCTACTGCAATCAGGAGATTATGAGTCTCACGCACTAACCACTCAGCAACGCACGCTTCACCACTAACAAACACTATTCACGAATAAAGCAGCTACATATGCTAATAAATTGCCAATGCCATTCAGCAAAAACGGCACCAAATACAAATAGACACAACTTTACTAGTAATAATTTGGAAGATACCGTACTGAAGGCATCCAAACTAGCTTTGCATGCAACAAATTATGTAAAGCCACATTATGTATTAATTAGGCATTTCAAAAATTTGTGAGATATATTGAAACAGAAAAATTCTGAAATAGAGTTTTTATTATTGTTATGTTGTTTGAAATAAATAGCTTTTTTCGGTTCATTTGATGAATTAAAAATGAATCAACTGTGTTTACTTATTACTAATGGAATGTCAAAGCACATGCTACCAAAAAGCTGTAAGGGTGCCCGAAAAGTGGCACTATTTGCGACTTATGTTTGAAAAAACGAAGTTTCTTAATAATACACTAAGCTGATGATGCTAGTGTAGTCAAACAAAAGAAAAGCTAAGTTAGAATACCTCAAAACATTGAGGCTAACCAAATCTGCCGTTGGTCTCCAAAAAAGTGAAAACCTTATTTTCGTAAAAGCGTATTCAACTATTCGGTGCAAGCTTATTTTACGTTTCTTTAGAACTACATGCTGACTGGTTTACATGCAGCGATACTCTTACCCGGTTACTTCCTAGTTGTGCAAAAATAGTTTTGCATTTGCGATAGCGATACTCTTACCCGGTTACTTCCTAGTTGTAACAGTAAGAAAAAGTGCTTATTGAAAAATTATAGCAGCAATAACAAGACGTATGCTCTGGCAGGTCTAACTTAACTGAATGACCAGAACAGAAAACTATACAGAGGCAAAACGGAGTTTCGCATTATTTCAGATACAAAAAACAATCACCAAGAACTATATAAGAGTCTCCACTACGTTCATCACTCTTAAACAAACTTAAAACAGTTGACAATGGAAAGTGCTTGGAAGTTTATTACATCATTGACGTACGCAATGAACTAATCTATAGATTCCCACGTGTACTACTGAGTGATGGCCGGTATGATTTCGGATTTAAAAGACTTCTACCAGACTTCTGACTATGCTCATCGCATTACAGCCTTTTTCGCATTCGTAAATCGCATTTTTATCAGCAATTTTTTTTGGCACTCAAATACTTGATTGATGATCGGAACACAACAAACGAATTTTACATTATAGTAAGGATAGCTTAAGCCGCGAGAAAACTCAGTGCTGTGGCAAATAAGCCGGCAAAAACAAGACAAACGATAAACCGACAATTCTTTTGCTCAAGCTGAAAATTTTCAGTTTGCAAAACAAACATGTCCACGCTGGATTCGAGCCTCGGACCTTCATAGTGCCAGTAAGGGAAAATTTACGTTACTTCCGGACCAAACGTCCAAATAAAACACTAAATATGAATTTGTTATTAACTTAGTCATCAATTAATTCATTGATTATGTTTAGAAACCTGTTAACCTGAAAAGTCGCAATTTCCGATTCGACGATATCGCTTGTAACGGGCAGCAGTGCTCTTGTACGTGATTCAAATTTATACCTGTATCAGCCAAATGCTAATGTATTTTGGTAGCATAAATTGAGCAGATAAAACAAAATCTATTTTAGATCATAGTACCTCCCCACTCCTACCTAATTAGGTACAAAAAACCTTAGGATTGTTTTACCTAATTTTTAATTTTCATTTTTTCGGATGTTTTGACGCAGAGGCGAAGCTGCCATTCGCAAAATTTAGAAAACGACAAAACAGCAGCTCTATAAAACAAATAAGCCTCTAATTAAAAAAACTTTTGCTAGTTGCAGGATTCGGGCCAGCAACCTCGAGATTTGGAATCTCACGTCCATCCCTCTCAGTCACAGACGTTTACAGATACGCAAACACTCGCAACACAATAAGCAGAAAACAGATGCTATGAACTTTAAATGAGATCGTGCAATCACGATGCTACAAATCGTGATTAGGCAAATTTTGAAAAGGTCAATTAAGACAGTCAGAAATATGAGCTGTGACGGAAGGTCTAACTCATAGAGTAATTTCAGATAATGTAAACCGCCTGCTCGTCACGCTATCTTATTTTCGGCCGGATAGATTCGTGCAACTTCTTAGTCTAATACCGATCTTAACCTTACTCTTATATCTCTAAGTCTCAATAGATCTTGAGTATACTGGTTTGTTACGAGTTGGTCTCTTGGAAAAGGCAACTAAGCTGTAAGTTAAATTCAGAATGCTCTGGTGCTGAAACTACAAGTAATTTCAGCACTTACAAATAAAAAGGGTTATTAGTTAGATAATGATTGGTTAGTCTTTATTATTATATACGGATAAAATATCTAATTTAAAACCAATAATAATAATATAGTTTGAATCAGGTTCCACCCATCTGGGGTTTACAGAGTTTTTGTTTCTTTGACTTATTTCTGTAGTGGAGCATGGATGATTGATCGTTCGTATTTCGCGAGCATCATTTCTATTCCATTCTTGGAGGAGGAAGCTCCAGGAAACTGGGATCGTAGATTTCATCTTGTCATTCAACGATGACTAAGACCGTTAACAAAATCAATCAAGATGGTTTGTTATGATCGTCTGGTCTTGATCGGTGTGGAGAACTATGTTTCGATCTGAATTGGGAATGGCGTGAAGCTCGAGTTTGGAGGGAATGCCCAGTAACTCGGATCTGTACGTATACTTGAACATGGAGGTGGTCATTGGTCTGTTTCAATGAAATCCTTTGCTTCGAAGTCAAGTCGTACTTTAAATCCTTTGAGTTGTGGTTGTGAGCGGCATATCGGTTGTGTTTAGCCATTGTGTAGGTTTTGCGTGATGAGGTCTTAGCTGCTTGATGCTCGTCTTCGTGAATGTGTATGATCTATATTACTGCAATATATATTTTACATAAATAAATGTTTAGTTAATCCTTCTTTTTAGTTATGATTTTTTATTAATTTTTATCGCAAAAGCTTTTATTTTTAGTTCAGTTATTTTAAAAGAGTTACTCACACTTGAGTACCTCTTATCAAAAAAAAGAGTGTGTCACAAAGCGTGGGTTTTAGCACGGTGTGTTAGGCCGGCTATTAAGCATGCTCAGGACTTCGTCCTCTTCTGGTGGGTTAGGCCAGGAGTGAGGGTATGATTTCATGCTGGTTTTTTATGGGGTCCTGTTTTGTGTTAACCTTTTGTGTTGTGTTTGTTTCTGGTTTTTTCCTTTTGTTGTTTTAGTTGTGTTCTTTCCTTAAAAATCAAATTGTTTGGTTTGGGTTTGTCTGTCGACTTTTTGGTGTTTTATACTTTCTTTTTTAGACTTATCAATAGTCTTCAAAAGAATAAATTATCGGTTCTTTAAGCTGGTTTAATCCAGTTTGGGTACTGTGGGTTTTCTTTTCTTAGTCATGCTGTTAGTTTGTGTTTCATGGTGTTTAGTAAGCTGCGTTGGTTAGTTGGGATTATTATATAAATCCTTTCCAACCGGGTTAAAAGAAAAGTGGAAACTTGTTATTGCTTGTTTGAGTTGTTGTTAGTGCAAACTTAAATCTTGAATTCATTGAAGGTCTTGGTGAATGGACAAAATATATACATTTGGGTTATTGGGTCGTAAACTCTGAGTATGCCTTGGAAGTTAGTGTTTTTAATACAGTATGTGAAATTTAAGAAAAATGGCGAAGTGTACGTTGAAATAATAAACTGAA